TGAAACAAGGATTTAGAAAGGCACATGTGAGACCCTTTTTGCAACTAAGATCCTATAAGAAGGCCATAAAGGCTGAACACAGGAGACCTAAGAATCTTTGATTGTAACAGAAGAGATCTAATTGTAAGATGCTGCTGTAGTTTACAGTGCCATTAAGAGGCCATTGTTTCTGACCTTAGCACAAAAGATAACATGCTTCTTGAGAGTTTTTTTTTTTTTTGCTTCTTGAGAGTTTGAGGACCAAATTTAGACCAATTCTTAAGAATGTTGCCCAACAGTGAGTCATAAGGGGCAGAGTACCCAGAACCCATCACTGAGTACTGCTGAACTGCAGCATCCACCAAAAAAGGCATGCCTAGCAAGTGATGGACCTCCTGCCACCCACAGAGGGACCTGAGGTATGCTGCAACTTGGGGCAACCGCGAGAAAGAAACCCTTTGACAAGAAAAAGTGAAACTTGGTTTCACTTTGGAGCCACCATAGAGCTAGGACCAGATTGTCCAGGTGGTCAGGCAGGACTGACCTTGGAGAAAACTCATAAAGCAAACTTGGTCATAGGTCAGCTGTGAAGGAAAAGGGGGATTCATCATCCTGGAGAAGCAAGAACCTGACTACCTATAAATTTCTTAGATGAGGAAGTCTGGTCAGGAGAGGACTGGAGGGAGCAAACCTCAGAGGGAAAGCAGGGGGACAGAAAAGGAAAAAGTGTTCACACAAGGAGGAAGACTCACTGTACTGGAGGAGTAATAATTCCTGAGGCACACAGTTTGGGAGTCATGATGCTATGGGTCTGTGGACACTGGGCACAGGTAAGCAATCTTAGGGAGGAGAGGATCTTGCAGTTTAGGGAAATTTAACCTGTATGAGCTGCAGCTGTCAACTATGCACTGAAAGGAGTATCCTTTTGAAAGACAGACAGGTGTTGTTTGAGGACTGATGTAACATTTTGGTTCAACGGGGTCCATTGCCCTTGGTGTTGTTAGAAACAGTCCTTCCATGGAAGATCAATTAACAAATCTGTAAAGATAAACTAATGTTAGTGGTCAAGGGGATCCGAACAAAATATGTATGTCTGTACTTGAAAGGGACTTGTGATGTTATACTGGTTTAGGAGAAGTAATGGTAACTGTAAGACACGACAAGCCACTAGATCATCTAGTGATGCACACACAGTTTTTGCGTGTAGCTTACACGAAGGAAAGTTAATGTTCTACTACAGAGTCATCACTCAGCTGCAGCATGGCCTTTAAAGAAACAATGATAAAATAATCACGATCCCTCATAAGACCTTTCCAAGGGAACTGTTTACCTTTCCAGGGTCCTGATATTGAGAAATTCTGTCAGGGTATGTAGACATCTAGAGTGATTTTCCTCACAAGGAGAACAGGAAGAGCCCATTTTTATGCCAGAACCATGTCTAAATCCCCAAATCAATGGCTTCAGAGTTCATATCTCTCGTTTCTGAATCATTAACTTCCAAGTCACACTTAAATCTGGACTTTCCATCCAGGTTTCATCATCTCCTAGTTTGATTCAAAGCACCTGTTCACTTTTGGAATTCAATCTAAATTCTTTGGATGCTTTTTACTTGGGTAATCCTCAACTCTTACAGGTATTAGCTGACATGGAGTTAGATTCTGCATAGGTCTCAAGAGTCACCCAGTTCTATAGTCACACTTAAGTCATCCTCACGGCATTATTCTGTTATGCAAAAAGGACATCAACATGATTCCATTAAGAACTCAAAGCCTGTTGCCAGGTGTGGTGGTGGACATCTATAATCCCAGCACTTGGGAGGCTGAGGCAGGACTGCCACGAGTTCAAGGCCAGCCTGGGCTCCATAGTGAGTTCAAGGCCAGCCTAAACTACAGAGTGAGACCTTGTCTCAACAAAACAAAAATGTCCAAGAAACAAAAAATCTCAAAGCCTATCGGAGGGAGAAGATTTTTTAAAAATCACAGTACAATAAGACAATTGCCATTGCAAGGGCTACCAAATCCAAAAAAGGAAATATGCCCGAAAAACTGAGACCATAAATATGACATTGCAGAGCAAGCTTCACAGAGCTCATGAGGCTATCAGAGAGAGCCACTATGCAGGGAAAAATTCACTGAGGCCTTTCTGACAGAAATGAAAGATTTAAATGGCAAATATGACATCAAATGGCTATCACTCTGTGTATATACACAAAATATTTCTCATGGAATTTCAGAGGTATAAAAGGCCTTCAGATTATTTAACATAATCTTTGTATTTTAAGGGGAAAAAAAAAGATTTAAAAAGGGAAAGTGGCAGGACCAAAGTTCACCTACCTATCCTTAACTCTGACTCAAAGTCCTACAACTTGTCAAAAAAATTAACTTGCATAATGATCTCTGAATCATAATAAACACTAAATAATAAGGCCTGTAGAGGGGTATACTGTTAAATATCAAATCACATCATATCATTTGTGATATCGCAAATATCACATCAAGGTCCAAATATCAAATGGCAAATATCACATTAGGTCCCAGTGATATCACCCAGGATTAAACAGACTGAAGGAATGGTCTAAACAGAGAACATAAAGAACAGCTTGAGAAAACATTGCTTAGTTATGGACTGCTTACTAATAGTAGAAAATCTCACCTGTTGGTTTAGTTTTCATTCTTCCTTTTAAGTGAACTAAAATTATTTTACTTCAAAAGAGTGTTTACTATATCCAAATGTAACAAACATTTTACGTACTTACTGTGTACCAGAAAAAATTCCAAACATTATCAGTATTTTATCTCACTTAACGCCTATGACAATTCTATTATTTTTTTCAATCTTCCAAATGAGGTTTGGGATGACTAACTAATTTGATGGAACCAGAATTCAAAGGCAGGCAGCTTGCTTTGACTTCAGAGTCCAATTTTTAATCTTTTCATGTTTATCCTGCTTAAGACAAAAGAAAAGATATGCCAGAGGCTACAAAAGGTAGCTGCACAGAAACCAGTTTTAAGAATATTTAGTGCTAGTGTCTCACAAATTTACAAATATTCCGTCACACCACACAAAAGGAATAATGCCACATCACGTCAGACCCAAAGCCTACTTTCTGTTATACAAGTTAACTAAGCACTGGACTATCGGGAACATGGCTTGTGACAGGAGGTAATACACAGTATGCTACTTCCATTGCTGTTGAAGCTCTTTTATTTTGACGTAACTTCAAATATCTTCAAATGCAAGGATTATCTGCTGTTCTAAATTCTAGTACATACTGCATAATTAGACGAAAATTCTATGTCTGAATAACAAATGGAAAAAAACTGTCATCTGAATCATGTGTGTGCTCTTTTAATCCCTCAGGGTTTCAAAAGAGGACAGAATGAAAAGGGATGCTTGATGTCCCAATAAGTGACAATTTAGGGCTAAATAGAGAGAGAGAAGAAAATGCAGAAAATTCTACCATGGATGCCCAGGTCTTTGATGTATTCCTGTTAGTGAGTGAAAGCCTACTTGTGTCCTATTTCAGATGTTTTCATTACTTTTGGATGGCTGAGAATAGTCTTCTGGCTGCAGTGCCTATACTATCTTGAACGATGGGATAAAAGGATGAAACAATTAATCTTCTGCCTCTCCTGCAAACTGGGTATACTTTTTTTTTTGTTTTGTTTTTTTGTTTTTTTTTTTGGTTTTTCTCCGGTACCAGGAACCGAGCTCACGACCTTGCGCTTGCCAGGCAGGCGCTTTGCCGCTGAGCTAAATCCCCAGCCCCCAAACTGGGTATAGATTCCATGTTTTAGACCGCAGAAGTAGAAAATACCTTTCCACTTCTTTTCCAGATCCTTTCCTCACAACCAAGATCATCAACAATATGTATGTAACGCTTTAGGTATACTGTACACGATCACAATGGAGCCTCACAACAGTCCTGGAGATAGTATCTGCAATAAGAACATTATTTTACCGTGGAGGCAAACAGTCGTCATCGGGCGGGCTAGTAAGTGGCAGGGTCCACAGTGCCCAGTTCTCTTCATCGCCTTGCGCCTCTGGAAATTCCAAAACCTAAGTCTAAACTAGATTAATCCGCCAACCCCCTCATCTTCCACTGCCACAAAACCATGACCTCCCAGCTCCTGTAGCACACTCACTGCCTTGCAACAGGACCCATGGCAAACATTGGTCTACTGCATTAATCTCCTCGTCTCAAACAGCACTAGGAAGTCGGTCTCCCGACCTCGTCGCTCCCATCTACAAGGCCTGCAGGTTTGTTTTGTCTGTTTTTTTGATGGAGATAAGGCTCACTCAAACATTGCACTTCCCTTTAGCCAGTAGCCCCTGCTAACCCCTCCTCTTTTACCTCTTGATGGTTAGGTTTCGGAAAAGCGGGTACCACGCAGAGAACTGACAGTGCAGCACATGCTCCTTTTTCATCCTCCAGCAGAAGAGGCCTTCTACTTGTCGCTCTCCGGCCCTGCCAGCGCCCTCCCTGAACCCTGTGCCTCACTTCCGGAAGTGCCCGCCGGGCTATTTTTGCTTAAGGGCTCTTCCGGTCCGTAAAACTAGGAGACTGCAGAAGAAAAGGAAACTGTGTTGAATCTTGGGGAGCACACAGCGCTGGTATCGCATACATAACAAGCTAGCGCACACAAAGAGTTTGAGTCCCGAGTAACGAGCTGCGGAAGTGTGAAGAAAGAAATTTTAGGAAAATTCCGGCTCTGCCACGCCCCTAACGACGCGCCTTGACCCGGAAGATCTAAGGCAGGGTCAGCAGCAGGGTTTTACGGGTGCCGAGAGGAGGGCGCTGGGACATCCTCTTAGCGCCGCGAGAGGCGCAGGTGTTTGAAGCCGTGTCAGTGGCATCTGGTGGTACTGCTGCTTCAGGCTCGTGTTTTTGTTTTTGTTTTTTCTTTTCGTCCTCCTCCCTTCTTCACTCCACTCCTTGGAACAGGTAAGTGGGCGCGGGCCAGTCACCTATAGAGGTCTCTGTGGGGCGCGAGTGAAAGGGCGGGAGGAAGCACGTTTGATGATGAGGGCAGCCGCGCGCTCGTTTCCCGGGCTGCGGCTAGCCTGGCGTCCGGGGCCAGCGACTGCCAGGGATTGGGGTGGAAGAGCCCGGACTACGGGAGGAGCAGAGCACGCCTCAGTTACATGTCTGGAGTATTTGTGGAGAAGGATGGGTCCCCTTCGTGGATGTGAGTTTTGAAAGACAGGGATGGAATCCCGCCCGCAAGGTCCTGGGCGGCCATGGGGCTGGGTTGGGGGGTGATGGAGGGAAGGGTGATTTGAGACCACAGTCTTTTTGCGCACCAAGTTTATTTAGTCCAGCCCCGCAAAAGTTGCCAGCTTCGAAAAACAGATTTTCACTAGAGTTCCCGCAATGGAAGAATCCTAGTTGCACTTAGAATACCACTTTTCACTCCGCTCCCCTTTCCACCTATCATCTACGAAGTTCGGTTTTGTTTCTTTAGAAGCATGAAGTCAAGAGCTACTAAGAGATGCCTTTGAGATCTGGTAACGCTTCCTATCATGACAAGCCTTTAGACTTGTCCCAGGCACCTCCGCCTACAGTTGCATGTAACAGATACCGCCTTAAAACTGGGTCCCCTTAAGCAGGTTTAAATTAGAAGTAAGGACCCCGCGGGCTGCAGGTTTCTTTAGAAGGGAATTCATAAGAAATCCGCAGTGTATTCGGAGTTAGAAACTCTTCTCTGCTGAAGGTAATTTTTCTCAGAAACGTCACTGGTGCTAAGTGGCGGCTCGTGCCTGTATGTAATTCCGGCAAGATTGAGGCAAACCTGGGCAGGTTGAGACCCTTTCTCAAAATAAATGAAGAAATAGCTGGAAAAGTCTGGGAACTTGCCTCAGCCTGCCCTGGGTTCAACACCTGGTACCGGAAAAAGTGAAAAAAAAAAAAAAAAAAACAGTTACTGGCTAAGTGGTTAGTTGGGAGCATTGCTGTAAAGGATGCGTTTTCAAAGTACAGGTAAATAGATTTTAACATTGCAGTGTGTTTGTAGGGTATGGGCTGAAGTGGCTCATTTGCAAGCACTTTTGGGTTTTATTTTGTTTTGTTTTGGACTGGGTCTCACAATGCAGGCTGGTCTTTAGCTCACTATGTGGCCCAGGCTGGCCTGAAACTCCAGGTGATCCACCTGCCTCAGCCTCCCGAGTGCTGGGATTATAGGCATGTGCCACCATGAGTACTTCTGAAGTCCAGAATTAAAAATTAAACAGTCCTTTGTGTTTTGAGGGAAAGAAACAGTGTACCATCTCCTAATACAGAGAATGGTATTAGTTTTATGGAGATAAGAGACTTAGTAGTGGACTTGATAATGCAGTCCCATTTGTTATTACTGTATTTGGCCTAGAAGTGCAGTATAAACCTTACAGCTGAAGGAAATACTGGCCCTAACTGAGGTGCTTTTGGGTAAGGTATTTTTCTGTAGGAGGTAAGAGTCAATTGCACAGGGAGCTAGGAGCAGTGGTGTTTGCCTTTTATCCCAGCATTTACAAGGCTGAGGCAGGAGGATCGCCATAATTTCCAGGCCAGCCTGTACTACATAGTGAACTCTGTCTCAACAAACAAAACAAAAAAGAAGAATTAATTATATGGGAAAAAACACGGTGGGAACATTGTCCTTCCTTTCTTTAACAGGCTGGTGTTTTTTTTTTTAACAATCCAGAAAACATTTGGACATAGAAGTTGCTGCAAATGCCAAGCATCATATCATTTGTAGAGAAGTTTTTTGTAGAGAACTAGTTAAATCTGTGAATTCAAATACATGAGCTACAGGGAAGGCGTTTGATACAGATCTTTTATTCAGGCTTTCTACTTTAGAATTCTTTTCAGTGATTTTTTTTAGTATTTCTCACAGCTGGATCTACAGCTGGGTCTAACTTGTTACACATTTAACCAGAATCCAATAATTTGACTTTACAAAACAGGAAATGCTCTTGTATTTGAACAGTGCAGCTAAATTTTTAACTACTGTGTTGGCCATGAAGTGTTTATATTCAAATTTCTCCAAATAAAACATTTACAACAGTGGGAATAATTTTCTTCTCATTGCATATTTAAAAAGTCAGTAGTCAAGTGATTGTGGGGAAAAGGATTTATTTCACAATTTCAAAGTAAAGAATGAAACAGCACATTTCTTTTGAATCCATGGCGTGATCAGTTCTTTTAGATTAGTATTTCCAACTGTCAGATGGTTTTCTGTCCATGGGCATCAGGCTGCAAACTCAGGACATCCAAATATGACCACTTCCCAATACCACTTTTTGATGTCTCAGTGTCCTTTAAAATTATTTCCTTTTTGGAAGTGGTTTAGGTTTATTTCTTCCCTAGAAAGCTGATTTAGGACAAATAAACTGTCATCTGCAAGGAATTAAGTTTTTTGTTTTTTGTCACTGTTACTACCTTACTGCAAACCTGCGTTATCTATCACCTGAACTATTACAAGAGGTACCTTATGGGTTTCATTACTGTACAGTTTGTAACCGGTTAATCTTTGCTAGGGCAATTACAATCATTTCATTCTTGCTCAACCAGAATTAAATGGGATGATAGTAAACCATCTGGTAAATGATTATAAATCACCTAATAGTATCTCAAGAAGTGTTTATTCTCTCTATGTCCACCCCATATCCAGGCCTGGCTGGAAAAGGGGAAAATCCCACAGAACTTGCAGTGGCTTTCATCATTACCAAATAGGCAGAGGAAATCTGCATTATTTGAGGATGATTATCATCAAAGAAAAGGTCACTTACAGTAAATCCAGGGCCAGGGATATAGCTCAATGGCACAGGCGCCTGCCTGGCAAGTAAGTGCAAGGTCCTGAGTTCTATTCCCCGTACCAAAAAAAACCCTGAAATATAGTAAATCCATTTGATGTAGGTACCATAAGTGATACAAAAGAGGAATTAATTGGAATATGTTGCTTTAAAAAGTGAAGTTCTATGATTATAACCACAAGTATTAAATATAGCTATAGTATTTGATTTTTTCATATTAAATCATAGATTTTTGTGTAATTATTTTGACAGAAAGTAGACTGACATCTTACACATGCCTAAATTGGTGCTTGACTTTTAACAATAAAATCATAAAGTATGTTATTTCCACAAAAAATTGCTATCTCCATTTAATTTCGTTCAGAGTGCCTCACTGATTTTTCTGTTATATAACTGTTCCAGCTGCCGAGTCCTTTCTGTCAATGAGAAGCTGTGTTTATGAACGGAATTGCTATATCATCATTACTTTAGCGAGGAGGATGGGTTGGGTTGGGGGGGTCTCACTGTTTCCATGGCTGGTCTCCTAAAGCTGGGACTATCGGCCTGTACCACTGCAGTTGGTGAACTCTTACATCTTTTATTTGGTTGAGTGTTGCTGATGCTCGTCATACGTTTTATCAAGGAGATAGATACTGGCCAACACATAATTTATTATGACTTTTGCTTCACTTGCAAACTCAACAAATTGCAGAGATTCAGGTATAATGATTGACTAATGAGCTTGAGTGCAGACTCTGCAGCCTAGCTTTTGAGTTCTTAGTTCAGCTTCTTGAATCTTAAATTCCACTTAACTCTTATCCAGATGTTACTAATACTGAAATACCCACATCTGTGAACAGTCACTTATCTTCCTGGCCTTGAGTGGAGGGTTGTACGTGCTGCCTAACCCCAAAACTAGCTGGCACAGAAATGTGTGGTGTCCCAGCTGGGATTGAGTACTTTCTTAGTGTATTCAAGGGCGAGGAGGCAAGGATCTAGCCAAATCTATGTGTCTCCTGAGAAATGTGTTTGGAAATGTTAATGTCTGTTATATGTACAGGGGTTTTGTTTTTGTTTTTCTAAGCAAAGTGGAGGGCAAGTTTGGGTGCCAAAGCGCTTTCCAAACTTTCATAATTTCTTAACCTTGACCCAGTAGTATTTGTTCTTTATTCATGTGGTTCCTTCTTCTTGGAATACTTTTCCTGCTTCTGGGGTCACTAAACATATCTCACTATCAAACTACCTTTTAAGTCTTGAAACAGCATTGAGTCAGTTTAGGAAAGCTCCATTACGGTAGTGGGCTTAGTGGTGCAGGAAGCATGGATATAAGTCTCATTTCTGTTTCTTTCTGCAGCGTGATGGTTTTGTTGACTAGACCCAGACATTACTATTTGGCTTCTGTTTTTGAAATAGTGCTAAAAATAACTCCTTTCCTGTTTCAGTACTATTTTTGAAGAGCTGCTGCAGTCTTCCTGAATCATTTTGGGAATCTGGTAGTAAAGAATACTATATACTTTCACTCATTGGGCACTTTGTTGTTGTTGTTCTTTACACTGTCAATGGATTGCTTCAGAATATTGCTTTCTGGGGACTGATTGATTACTAGTAGGAGGTCCAGCCTTGTTTGTCACTCTTTTTTTTGGTAATTTCTGTCTGTAGTTTTTCCCCTACCACCCTGGCTTCTTAATATTTTAGCTTAAATATCTTTTAATACAGGGTGCTTGAAACAACTGTATTATAGTTTAATGTGCTCATGTAGACTTTTAAATTGAATTTAACTCAGTTAAATGAAGGTTAGTAGATGAGGAATTATCATTCTGGATGATGCTTTTATACCCTTTTAGTAGTTAATCATCCCACTGAAAATTAGAGAATAATTATAAAGATACTGTCTATACATAAAGGGACCTAGCAGATAGCTTAAATGCCTTGATGTTTTATGCAACTGTAAAGGGACTAGTTTTACCATAGATTATACAAAAGTATAAGCACCACCAAAAGATCTTGATCAATATCTTGATCAAGATTAGTTAGAATATCTTCACTTAAAAAGTGATTTTAAGTTTTATGATTATAACTAAAATTATTGCATATGGCTATACTAACTATTTTATTATAAATGATGTGGATTTTTCTGTAATTATTTTGACAAAGTCGAATGGCATTTTACGATGCCTAAATTGATAGTTTAGAGTCCCCTTGTCCCTAAAGATAGTTACATAGGAGTGAGAGAGGGACAGGGCCACTCTGCTTTTCTGTGTCCTGTGTTATGACCATGTTGCTCAGAGTTTCTGGAAATCAGGTTTCCAGTTTAGAGATGTCTGATTCTCTGGTATCTTCTGGTAGTACTTGTATCTTTGAAGACCTCAGTTCTCTGCTTTTTAGAAGTTTATGTATGGACAGAAAAGTTAATTTGGGGTTAGAATGCCACTTTTGAAAAGAAGGTAGATGTCGCTCCCTGCAAGAGTGCTTGCTTGCCTCACATGCATGAGGCCCTGGCTTCCATCCCCCATACCACACACACACAAATTGTAGACCATTTATTTTGTGCATGAATGGGGCTACTTGGCTACCTAGAAGCTGTTTTCTGTGTTAGAATCAAAAGCTTTGCCTCTATCAGCAGGTCTCCTTCTGTGACGTATATGTTATTACAAAAAGAAATGGAGATCTAGATGATAAAGTTCTACTAAAGTTCCTTTTTCTTTTTTTTTTTTTTTCTGTACAGAGAATTGAACTCAGGACCTTGTGCTTGCCAGGCAGGTGCTGTGCCACTGAGCTAAATCCCCAGCCCCTACTAAAGTTCCTTTATGGGCTGTACAGCATGCGTGTAGAGACAGGTTGTTTTATACCTTTGGTTAGTTTTTACCTGGCTCAGCACACTACTTTGATTGCCTGAAATATGTAAATTATTCTCTACCAATGCTAGTTAAATGTTTGCCTAATTATCATCTGGGACAATTTCAAAGAAATAACTGCCTGTTCTCTTAGTAGAGTTCTGGGTTTTAATATGCTTAGTGACTATCTCTAAATAGTCCAATGTCTGTATGTATTGCTTCCAAATTACTTTGTAGTCTGTTCAAGTGTCAGCACATTAAAGACACCTTCCCTGCTCACCCCTTATAGATTACTCCACCACATGCCCCACTTCATAATCTCCATGAGCTTGGAGTCACCTGGCAAGGTGACTATACATTGCTCTTCCTCCTTTGTACCCTCCCCACCAGGCCTGGACCTGTGGCAGAGCCTTGTGCTGCTCCGTGCGCTGCTCTGTGCTGCTCTGTGCTGAGCCACTCATAGCTTCTTTTCATGGGTCTGCCATATGGTACCATACTTAGGTTCCCTAAGTCAGTCAACTGGGTATTTGATTTTTTAAAGCACTTTTTGTTGCTGATTGTATTTTGTGGTAGGGAAACTTACTGTCTGGGATAAAAATTGAAGATTTGTTGAGTAGTATAATTATCACTTTGGAGATCAGAAAACAGAGTAGAGACACTGTTTTCTGTAAGACAGCTGGTGAGAGAATTGATCCTTGGTGGTCTACACAATTAGCCCTCTGTATTTGTGAGTTCTGTGTCCATGACTGAAAATATTCAGGGGAAAATTTGTCAGAACTGAAGTTTTTTTTTTTTTTTTTGAGACAGGGTCTTGCTGTGTAGTCTGGTATGGCTTTGAACTCACTATGTAACCCAGGCTGGCCTTGAACTCACAATGATCCTACCTCAGCCTCCTAAGTGCTGAGATTACAAGTGTGTGCCACCACTCCCAGCTAGTTTAACAGACTTTTATTCTTGTCATTATTCCTTAAACAATATACTATCTCAACTGTATAGCACTGACATTGTATTAGACATTTTAAGTAAATGGGAGGTTGTGAGAGTAGCCATTGAGAAGTGTAGATAAGATAGCAAGAAAATGGAAAGTAGTAATGAAAAAGATAAGGCAGAATCAATCTAGGAATTCCAATGACTAAGTAATAGTTATTGGGAGAAAGAACAGAGAAAATGCTGAGGGGTAAATTATCAACAGAGTAACTCAAGGTTCCCTGTGAAGAATTGATGTTTCCAGATTGCAGGGACCCACTTGAGTGGCCAGTACAATAACATCAGTATAGAGACAAACAGGTCACATGGAAAAAGGATCAAGAATTAGAATAGTTTCAGGGTTCTCAGTAGCAACACTAGAAACAAGACAACTGAGCAGTGTTTCTGGGTTATTAGTCCATGATGGGGAGAGAAAAAAGGTCTAAAAATGAAGTAAGCAAGAAAGAGAAATAACCAGCAAGCAACAGTGGGACAGGGACCTGCAATTTCTCATAACAGACTACAGTGGCACCTCAGTTCACAATCTCAGTTTTCTCCACAATTCTGGTCACAAACTGAACTGGACAAGAACTGAATCAAATTTCCCCATGAGGTCAATATTGAGCCTAACTGTTGAATTTGATTCAATTTTCATCCAACTCAATTTGCAACCAGAAAGAAATCAAGTTTGTAAACTGAGGTACCACTATGTAGTGCTAGTTAATTCTGAGCCATGCGACTTTGATACCTATTGAAATTTAAATGGGGCACAGTAATGTGATAGGATGGGACTTGGATACAATCATGGGGCTTTTTCACTGAGCTACATCTCAAGAGATTATCCTTCAGTAGCTTCTCAGAGTACTGAGATTTCAGGTGTGTACCATTAGGCTTGACTACAAATATATTTAATACCACTGAACTGTGGGCTTAAAGTCACTAAAATGGTAAGTCTGTTTACCTCAACTTGTAAGAAAGGAGACAAAGGTAATCAGGGATAAAAGTTGCCCACACACAGCATGTGAAAGGGTGACAGTAGATGAGGGATGGGTGTAGAGAGTGGTATATAATCTTACTGTTGTTTTACATTGACAAGAGCTTTAGATTTGGAGTCAAAACACCTGATTAAGAAAGTACATAAGGGCCGAGAGTTATACACTGATGGCGAACCTTTCAGAGCTTTCAGTGATACAAAGAGTCTGCTGTGGCATTCATGCCATAGGTTCACCACCACTGGGTGAGCAATAGGAACTAATGAGAGCTGATTCTGACTGTGCTGGCTTGAAGTTCTTGTCTGGATGTTTCCGGGGCACCTGTATGTCCATTCCCATCTGGGTGGTTGCCCAGATATTCACACGGGAGCAATAGCTTTGATGGTGAATAAATGGTTTGCCATTTAAGTACTTTGACGAGTGGCCTATGGACAATTGCCTGATTCAGAAAAATTTTAGCTTAAACAAATCTCATTATCTTACAGCTAGACTTTCTCAACTGCGGACTATAAAGATTAACTAGGTCGAAAATGGAGAATCAAGAACCAACAGATTCTTCTCAAAATACCAAACAGCGTGTTATTTCAGAGGAGGTATAACTTGTTTTTCACTTTCCTTTCCTTTCCCCCACACAAATCTGAATCTAAAAGAAGCCTGAGGCTATTTATTGTTTCAGATGATTATTTTCATTCATTCTTGAAAATTTTTAAACACTTTTCCTACTCCAATTTTTAAGGTTCAGGCACTTTCTTCTTTTGTGTGAGAGAATGGTAGCATATCCTTAGTTATATGTAGTCATGAAATTGAGTGAGTAGATTTTGGCTCTTAATAAGAAAAATTCTTAATTCTAATTAAAAGGTTCCCTGAAGAGAGAAAAAGAAATAATAAGTGATTTTTAAGACTTTGTGACTTCATATTTAATTCTATTTATGTTCCTAATGTATATGAAAAACAACAAAAGTCTAAACTGTTACTCATAACCCAAATTACATTGAGTTCTAGAACTAATGTCTGTCTTGTATGTTATGCAATGTAGATTTGTAAGTCTCTTCTTGCAGGAACCATTACAAAGGAAATTTTAAATCCTTTATCTTTGAACTCAGATCTTGACATCTTGCTGGAATTCTTTTTGATTTAAAATCTTTCCATGTTGTCTGTAAACAGATCTGCTGATAGTTATTAGAAGTGAAAGGATAGTAAAGAAAAGGCTCCTGCTTTAAGTACACAGTGAAAAGTCCCTGTCAGTTCAGTGTAGGTAAGTTAGTCCCGTAACCAAACTGCTCAGTGTGTAGGTGGGACAGTCTTGGGGTGCCTGCTCAAGTTGGGTGGAAAACCCATGTCACAGTAGGAAGACCTGTCGTGGTTGACAGTGAAACACCATTGGTGAAGGTTTGCATCCAGACCAGGGAACAGAACTTTAGGAGCATGCGAGGAGACCCCTCCCCATGGCTCCCTTCCATCTACACCCACTTTCAACAATCCAAGAGTTTGTATTTATTTACTCATTTATTTGTGCTGGAGGCTGAACCCAGGACTTCATGTACACTGACCACACTCTCTACCACTGCTACATCCCCAGCACTCTCTTAATTTTTAAGAATTATCATTCCTTTTTACTTCTCAGTACTACTTCAAAAATTCTAAAAAGGAAAACAACTTTGAATGTTTACTCTGAACTAAAAACTTGCCCACAAGTTATTGGAGGGACCACATATATAAAATTTTTTAAAAAATACCCATTTAGATAAAAAAAAAACAACTTGATTTGAAAGTTTTTCAACTTACTATCTGATCTCCTTTTAGTTAATTTCAGAAGGAAAATGGGTCAAGCTTGAAAAAACAACTTACATGGATCCTACTGGTAAAACTAGGTAAACTTTTCCCCCTCTTATAAAATGAGTATTTGGGTTCTCTGGGTCTTTGTTGACTTTGATGTTTTTCTCATTGTAAACTCTGTTTTAATTAAAGAGTCTAATATAGATTTTCCCCATTATTAGAATGTTTGGATCATTGATAATCTCTGTATAAAATCGGGTGGTAAATTTGTTAAAATAACTAATTAGGAGTCTATTCTCCCTAGATAAGTAAACCTAAAACTTTCGGGCAAGCCTAATTTAAGCTGCAAGGTAAGTAGAATAATTAATAGTACATGTTGTTTCTTTTAAGTAAAACCAATTTTTTAATCTCTAAGAAGAACTGAAGAGGAAAACCATTGCTGGTTTTGAGGTAAAACTCACATGGTTACACCTTGCTCATGCAAATGTAAATTGGAAAACCATCTTTTTTGTAAAGCATATTTCACTATATATATCAGCCATAAAAGTACTTTTTGACCTGATAATCCCTCTTCTGAAACTATGCTGAGAAAATGATCCATTGTTTAGGATCAGATATGTGCATGAACAATGTTCACGAAAAATTTAAGATAGAAAGCAACCTAAACATCTTAAAAATAGGGAAATGGGGCTGCTGGAGTAGCTCAGTGGTAGAGTACTTGCCAAGCATGCGGGAGGCCCTGAGTTCCATCCCTAGCGCTGGTGAAAAAATAGGTAACTAATTGTTGTAATATTTTTGAAGAAACCAAGGAATCTGGGAAAGTTAGTATGTTGATAATAAAATATAATATATATGCTTTTAAAAACTGCCAAATGTGTAAGAAAAGGCTAGAATAAAAACAAGAATAGTGAAAAAGCAACTATGTAATTAATTGTTGTCTTCCAAATTTCCTGCTTACCAATTTTTGATATTATAAACTATCAGGAAAAAAATGTTAAAATACTTAGTTACTATTTAATATAATAAAACAAAGAAACATGGAAACTAAGTTTAGTGTACGGATTACTTAATTAAAATTTATTTTTTTGTTTTTTGTTTTGTTTTTCTTCCGGTACCAGGAATCAAACTCACGACCTTGCGCTTGCCAGGCAGGTGCTGTGCTGCTGAGCTAACTCCCCAGCCCCCTTGATTCAAATTTACTAATATAAAAATTACTTGCTAAGTGATCAAATAGGAGACATGGTTTCTCTGTGAACAAATACATCTGTCATCAAGATGAAAATACATAGATTTACCAATAATTTAAAAAACTTCTGATACAGTTTCTAAACTAGAAAACCCTTAGTGAGGCTCAGTGTTGGAGATCCATAGGAAAGAAGCTAAATCAGCACACTATGATCCTTCAACACCATGCAAGAGTGACTATGACTTTAGAGTATTTAAAATGTGCAGTGAGTCTGACCTGTAGAACTGAACTAGATGTGAAATAAATAGGCACAGGGCTCAAACCCACCACAGACACATGGCAAGGCCCAGGCTTTAGGGAGCACAGTATATTCAAATATATTTGTATTAGTGAAAACATACACAAAATTGTAACCCAATATATAGTGAAAGAGTTTGATTTTCTTTTTCCTATAAACTTAAGTTTATAATATAAAATGTGGCCCTTCCACTAATTAGCTTAGAGAATATGTGTTGGTCCATGCCAGTTTCTGTCTTCACTAGTCATCTTTCCCTCCAGCATTTTTCCATCAGGACTGTACATGAGAATCATTTGAGATTTTTTTTCAAGATATTCATGTGCAACTCTGAGTCTGTGCTAGTTTTGGAAGTAGGCTCTAAAGTCTCCACCAAAGCGCTGTGTTTATGCAGTCTGTTTGTAGCTGCTTACCTCCATTCTTCCATACATGAGTCTTCTTGACCTCTAAGCAGGTCTTATGTAAAGCATTAATATTTCATACCAGAATGTCAGACTTCAAAGAATGAATTTCTGTTTTCTAGTATACTTTTTAAAATTTATCAAAGTGTGTTCTTTATTACGTGGTATAAAAAATAAAATAGAGAATCCTTTGTCTCATCCTTTGTCTCAATCCTGCCGTTTGATTCATGGAAGAAAGTGTGGAGTTAATTTTAGAAGTGTAAAAACACAGGGTAGTGAGCACTCAGGAGGCTGAGGCAGGAGGTGTGCCACGAGTTTGAGGCCAGCCTGGATTACCCAAGGAATTCAAGTCTAGCTTGAACTACATAGCAAGATCCTGTCTCAAAAAAAACCAAAAAATATAGATAGGGTAGTAAGTCCCTATATTGACAGTCAAAAGAATGTTGAGGCCATGATCCTTTGTGACCTTTCTAGCTCTTGTGTTGGTGGATGAGAGACAGAAAAGCAAACCATGGTTTCCTGTAGTAAAAGATATTGGAGAATAAATTAAATGGAAGCAGAGTTGTAAAGCTAGAAGAGATTGTTATGCTAGTGTACTCATTCTGAGATAGTGTAGCATACTTTTTACAAAGAAACCTCTCCTGGAGTTGTAGCTTGGGATTTAGCAGATAAACAAGTAGAGACAAGATTTTGTCACATCCAGTCACATGTACCTCTCTCCGAATCCCTTTAAGATTGTTGGATTTAGTGAGGCCATAACTAAAAACAAAGAAGAGGGCTGGAGATATAGCTCAGTGCAAAGGCCCTAGGTTCAACCCCAAGTACCCACTACAAAAGAAAAAAGATTGTTGGCACTCTCACAGGGACATCCTGGTCTAGTGTTTCTTATGAATGCATTTGTATGTAACTGCTCATACTTCATGGCTCTTTACTGCTTATTTCCTTCACCTTAACCAGCGTAATGATGATACTCTTTTTGTTTCCCTTATTCCTGGTGTACTTAGGCTGGGACCTTCAATGCTTTTCCCAACACTTTCTTCAGTCCTTAGGACTAACCTTAAGAGGCAACAGAGAGAGCTGTGCCAAAAGGTGTTTTGTCTCTTGAAATCTGTATTATTTACTTATCAGAAATTGCTTGTTGGTTGGCTTTTTGCTACTAACAGGAATGTTGGGCTGCTGTGAGTTGTCATAGTGGTCTGTTTAATTTTCTTAGGTTCATTTCAACACATTGCCCTTTAGAATTTGGGTATGATGCTGCAAGATGTGCAGCTTTATAGACTATTAACTGTCTGAAAAGAAATTTCAAGAAATGTGGCAAGATGCAGACCATAGAATGAGAGAAAACAGATGAGCCAGAGAATATACTACTTGGACACAAGTAGTACATCTTGTAACTCTTACAATAGGATGCAGGTGTTGACTCCTTTCTTACCCCAGTCCCCACTGCCACTAGATATCTAACTTTCTTTAGAAGAGATCCTAAACTTGTTTGCTACTCCACTCCCCATCTTTTACCACAGCTTTCCCCACTTATGGGATGAAAGAATAAAAGGGGTAATTTCCCATTATGCCCTTTCCCTTGAAATGTGATGTTTTTCCACATGACTGCATAGTGTTCCTATAAGAAGTCCAATAGTATGGATGTTAGCAAAACCTGAAATAGGTAACACATAGAAACAATGGCTGATAATGAGTAAAGCCATGAAAGGGAATAAGAATTTGCTGTTATTCACCTCAATTTTTCCTCTAGAGACTACTTTTGCCCCTTGGATAAGACCTAACTCATGCAAAGTAAAGCGCTTATCTAAATTTAGTAATTCCTCAATTAATAAATAGGAACGTTTTACTTTCTTAAGTTGTGTCATTTAGGTCACATTAACCAAAAGATCTCTATAAGTAATCTCAGGAATTCACATCATGCAGGTTGTCTTTTCTTCCTAGAGACCAGGTTGGAATGTTTACGAGCTTACTCTGAGTCACTGCGTGTTAATAGCCCTTACACCCTTAATCACCAGCTGTGCCGCTTATACAGATTGATGATCCCAACTGAGTATTTTGAGAAAACAGCTCAAGTGCTCAGCAGGCTTTGTATGTAGATGGCATCCAGAGGGTTAGGTATAAAATGGTAACAGTTTTCTTTGGTAATTTTAGAAACTGCGGTTGGCCTTTAATACAGATCTGTATTGTTGCAGTCTTCTTGACCAGTATTAGTACATTTGCATGTATTGTGTTTATGAAGTTTTGGTTGGGCACAGAAAACCTAAGACCATTCTCCTCTTTAGCACTAATAAGTTTTTTTCTTCTCTGCTTGAACAGAACTTGGGAAACAGTGAAACGTACAACCAGGAAGGGGCAGTCTGCTGATGGTATGACTATTATAAGCCTTCTTTTTTTTTTTTTTTTTTGGTTTTTCTCCGGTACCGGGAACCGAACTCACGACCTTGCGCTTGCCAGGCAGGCGCTTTTGCCGCTGAGC